CTAGTGGGCTCATATACTGCAAACAGCAAATGCAGTGGCGTGTCACCAAAATTATTTCTCGCATTGACATTCGATCCCTTTGCGAGCAAAGATTGGACAAGTTCTTTGTCTTCATTTCGGACAGCTCTATGAAGGTCAGAATCACCCAAATCGTCGTCGTCATCGATGCCCCGCTCCAGTAGATACTTTTTTAGGCTACATGTATTCCAGTGTCTTTTGTCGTGGTGATAATATGTCACCCTATAGCAGTTTAGTGCTTTTAACGTAAAGTGACCGTGTGAATCTATTTCAGTCGCGTGGCTTAGCAGGTACTCGATAAGCTGCTCTTTTTCGGAATCTTCATTCGAAAAATCATGCAAATGTAACAATTGCTCGTAAATGTTCGTAGTCTTGAAACTAAAACGTAGATAATTAAAACAAATAACTAATCGATCCAATCTAGACAATGTAAAATTAATGCAATAAAAATATCAACGTCCTACCCCAAGGCTACAACTTTTTTTAATACATTGAATTCAACGTTATGAATGGCCTTGTCTACAGGCGCTATATTGCTATATTTCATGACATCGCTGTCTATCTTCTCGTGTTCCAACACAATCCTCATTAAATCAGCAGAAACTTCTCTCGGTTGAACAATAATGTCGCTCACGACCCAATTTGGATCAGCTCCATTTTTTAAAAGAAGCTGCACGCCATTCATCTATGGATTTAAAAGGATTAAAGATTCTGAAAATATTAAATATGATTAAATACGTACGTGCTTTCTTCTGAGTGATGAATAGAGTATGGAGCGGTTAAATATTCCTCGCATATTTACACCCGCCCCATAATCAATCAGAAGTTGCATCATCTGTAGTACATCATCCAATTGGCCATTAACATCATAGACTGTTAGTAAAGGTGTATCAAAATTAAAATTACAATCATTTACGCAAGACGGGTCACTGAGGAATGGAAAAAAATATTTAAAATTTAAAAACGACGATGAAATAATGTTGAAAAAGAAATAGGTACTACCTTTCTAGAATTTCACGAACTTGGTCAATGTTGCCATTACGAACTGCCTCATGGATATATCCTTCTGTTCTGTTTTCGTTTTCCATAATTATTTGACTTATAACTTTGTCGTAATAGAAAAACTTTGTTACAGTGGATAAAGAATTCAAAAGAAATATTTTTTGGGCTTCGAGTTTATTTCACGTTTCTGAAAAAAACAACACGCAATAAACTATGGCTGGGGGTGTAAAGGTACAAATTAAAATAAATAAATAAATATGCGTGAATTTTTGCATCATCCAAGATGAGTTCGAGACCCTTGTAAGCACGAAAATTGTGTGTTAAAAACAATTGAGTACATTTTTATTAAATTACGTGCTTTATTTTGTGACTTTATCATTATTAATATAGTAATAATAAACGTTAAATTTGGTTAACAACCACTGAGTTGCTATTTTTTTAGCCCAAAACAAACGCTGATTATTTTTCTTATAAAACAATGTATTTTGTACATACATATTCTCCGATAAAATTCTACCATGTACCATATATCGAAATAATTTATTGAAAAACCAGTTTTGTTGAATAGGAATTTATTTATTCGAAATTTATGTATACGAGAGGGATACAACGCGGTCTCGTTATTTTTTTCAGGTAGGATTTTTTACTTTATATTTAGATCTAAACTCTGAAACCGTGTGGAACATTTACTCTGCAAAAATATTGTTGTATCTTCGAAAATGTGTAGCATAATAAACAGAGATAATGATCTAACTTTTACGAAAAGTAGAAACTGCATGGCTCTGCGCATCACTTAGAATTTCTCGTGACGATTTATTAAGTATCAAGAGTTCTTAAAAAATTACCGAAAATTTTTATTTTTTATTTTTTTTTTGTTTTTTTTTCGCGTTTTCAATTATAGTAGTTGACTTATCTGGTAAACTTTTATAGTTGATTTATGTTATAAAACAACAAATAATATTAGTCTATAAATATGTATCATTTAGATTTACTTTCATATTTCAGTGTCGGAGAATTACAGCAATAATTTGCGGAAATCAGATGCTACAACTGTAGAAATGTCAATGTCACGTACAGTAAAAGTATATTTCAGACAAATACTCGTGCAGATAATGTAATAAACACAATACTACAGTGTGATATTACAGAAATTTACTACAACTGCAATTGATAAACTCTATTTTTGTACCATTTCAATAATATTAAAGACATATAATATGTATGTACACCACAACGTTGCAGGTCAATATAATATATGTACAATATTGAAGAGCTATCGTAGTATATTTTTTATTACAGTACACAGTATTGCTCCAACATATTTGAAATACAAGGATATTGTTGTATTATTATTATACAGTATTACAACGATGTTAAGACATAGTTTAATGTTGTGAGATAAAACTTTCAACAATGTGGATCCGCTATTAATTAATAATACATCAATGTTGCTTAAATATATGGCTTAAAAAAAGTGACTATAGGTGCAGATAGTGCAAAACTAAAACAAAATCTAAAAAAATTACTTTTATTCAGCATTTGATTGACATACAACTTTTTTCAACGATAAAACTCGTGATTATAGGGTATACATGTCATTATCTAACCATTGCACGAATAAAAGAATAAATAAGGTACTTAAGCCAATTGGCCCTTGTTACGACGTATCTTATAGATCGGTATAATTTTATAAAAGTTACTCTATTGATAAAGTAGTTTGTATCTTTTGTATACAAGAAGTTGGTGACATCATGAGATTAACCTATTTCGCTTGCTTATGATTTTACAACTAAAATTACTTCTATGGAATGGAAACGTACGAACATTTCTTGTCGACTAACCGAAATATTTCCGAAACTTTCAAAAGTTAGTGGAAAGTTTTTAATTATAAAAAAAATAAATTAAAAATCATAAAAGTCGATTTTTTAGTAAAAAAACCTTAATATTTTCCATCAAGAAATAATTTAAAAAAACCTACCTACGGTTCGACCTCAATATATGTATTTCAGTCTCTTTTACAATCTCTAGTTTCACTTTTGGACTAATATCGACTTCACTGAGTAAAAGCGTGAAAAAGTAAAATTACGTACGACACTGTCATTCCGACATCTGGTATATAGATAATATTTATAGATAAATTTTAATTGTACTAGAGTATTTTTTGGGATCTTCATAAAAATTCGTTAAAAAAAAAAATCAAGCGACACGTGTCCAAGTTTAACATTAAGAGAACTCTAATACTAAAAGGTATACTTAGTATGAGCAGGTATGATAGTGCACGTGTATACCATGTTACAATATTTACTACGTCTTCTCGGGAGCCATAACTTATACTGAATTAGTACACAAAACAAGCCTATTGTCTAGGATAACTGTTTCATTTAATAATACTATTGATTGTTGACCTGCGTATTGATGAATTAATCTTTTATTGCTTTCCTACAACACCTTGTGTTGATACACGTAGAGAGTCGTTAATCCAGTTAGTTTGGACAAAGTTCGTTTTATGACTTTTTATTAAAAAGTAAATTTGAAAACTGATATTTTCCAATTGTTTCTCAATTCCTTTGTGATAAAAAAAAGTTTAGGCAAAAAATGTTTTGAAATAAAAGTTATTCAGTGGATATATGTACGTAAATATTAGGTATTTTTAAAAGTTAAAACATTTATTTGCTACCAAAACATGTGATGAAACTGGAAAAGATGAAGAAACGAAATGAGTTGAAAAACATCAAAAAGTTGAAATTTAGATTTTTTATTCTACAAATAGATCTTCATACCTAACACATTGCAAATTCCAAAAATTAATTTTTCAGTTATAACAAAAAATTTGTTGACACAAATTGCATTTCATTAATTTTTTTGCAATGGAGATTTGTAGTTACGTTTTTTTGGCACTGATTTTTTATTCACTTAAAAAAAAGTCATCGTTACTAAAAGAGAACGTCAAAGTAGTGCAAACTATCCGAACCAATGCGGCAGACTTTTTTTTACTCACAGTCAATTTTTCGATGTAACATTGTCAATCGTAAAAGCAATCAGTTTTATCGTATTTAGAAATTTATTTTGAAAAACTTGCTATTAGACAAAAACAAACACAAATTATGTAGAGTAAGTTTTAAATCTCGCGCCATTGTATTTTATCTATCGCAGGTAACACCAAGTTTGACATTATCGACAGCTAATACGGCGGTAACCGGGTAACCTCCCGTCAACGTGTCCGTCAGCTATATAGTGTGACATACGACCCGTTGGCATTTAAACAATTTTACAATTATGTAAGCTTTTCCGTTGTAAATTTATATTACCTATTCATATACAATTAATGCACTATTATTTTTCACTCGGTTTCGAAAAGACCAAAATTTCAAGACAAAAGCACTGCATGCTACTGTACTAGGAGTCGTTTTTAAATACGAAATTCTATCCACTGTATAAAAAATAAAATTGCTAGTGCAAGCAATTGAAGTTCTCTTATTTATGATGTTTTAAAACAACATTTTGATCGGCATTTGTTTATTGAAAACTGAAAAGTTACAAACTGTTTGTGGAAATAGTGGAATGCAGCTGTAAGGAAAGAGATTTTTGACTATTGTCGTTACAATTGTTTTTGGTGTGCTCTTCTGATCTGATTTCTTTACTTGGACTGTAAAAATTTCAAAAGGTAAGTTGGCAATAAACTAAGATTTTATGAGGGATTCTTTAAGGTTGTTGTTGTTTAATTACCTTTTTCTAACCTTAAAATCAAGGTTAGGTTGTCCTTGTACACAACATGTACGTTTGTTTACTTATCAATTTAAAACAGGCAAAGAGAGTAATAAAAATATTTTTATTTGAAAAGTACAGTAATGTTTAAAAATCTGTATGTCTAATAGTATTCTGTTGTATAACAATTAATATTTACCTTGGTCAGTTAAACCTCGTCCTTTTTTGTATTGATTTACAGTTATTTTTATTTTATTTTGTATTTGAACAGTAATTTGTTTGAATTTAACAACTTTTTGATAGAATTAAAATGAATGCAGATAACTACATTGAAGCAAATATGAGCCTCAATGGTTCACCTGAAACAAATGTCAACTGGTCTACTGTCAAACCAAAACCAGAAAAAATCTACCATGGAAGAGGTGTAATGCCTTATATACCGGTTAGTTGATGAATTATGCCTCCATTTTATATTTACATTTATTTTTTCACCAAAGCTAAAAGTGTAATGGCTAAATATATAACTATTTAGTATGTAAAACAAATTTTAATAACATAAGAAATGTTGTCGGTTGTATCCAATCTTCCATGACTCAATTTGTCTGTGACTTTTTAAATTTACATTGAACAACCTTTTTTTTTTCAAAAAAAGATACAGATCCCATTGAAACATAATTTTTTCAAGTCAAATAAACATTAATTGACAAAAATTGCTTACCAAAGTTTTGGATTTAAGAAAATACAGTTTCTTTGCGTCAATCTCTACAAAGCTTTCCAAAATGCTATTGTAAATGCCTAAGTAACAACAATTGTTTTAAAATGTCAAAAAAATTATTCAGTAGCGTTTTATTTGATATTTTAGCACAAACCATCAATCTACATATTTGTAGGGTTCAAAAACATATTTTTAGTATAGAATATTACGTCTTTTATAACTAACTTTTTAGCTCTGGAGGTGAAATTTTCAGTGTTGCTCCACATTATGCAAGTATGTATTGGTTTTTTTGTAAATGTAGTTTTTTTTACAGGGAACAGAGGAAGCAATGAAACCACACTATACAAATATAAATAACTTGATTGATGAAAATAACACAAACCAGGTAAATTTTGAAAATAATGCAAACCAGTTGAACGGAGAAAATAACATGCATCAGTTTAATGTGGAAAGTGGATCCAACATAATGTACTATCCACCTTATGTAAATCCAAGCCAACTGGATTCAGGATATTTGTCTAATCCATTCATTGACCAATGCAATTCAGAAACCTTGATGCATCAACAATACTTTACAAACTCTTACCTTGGGCAGTGGAGTCCAAACAATTTTCCAGATCAGAATTTTTATGAGTGGTTTTCAGGAAACCTTTCATACTCAAATCATTTCCAGTTCAATTCAAAAGACTTTCCGAGTCTACATCCTTATCAAGAGAGTTCAAAAGAATTTATGAATATTCAAACAGATCAATTGAGTGCACCACAGTACAGAAATCCTCATTCTATCCAAGGTGATTCAGACAATTTAAAAAATTTTAATCAAAGCCAAACTAGTCGGAAAAATAGTAAGGAACCTAAGACCAACAAAATGAATCGGAGGAACAGTGTGAACCCTAATCTTATACAGATACAGCCAGAAAAGACTCCAAAAAGTGATGCAAGCTTGAATCTTGATCAGAAACCCAAAGACTGCAAAACTAATCTAAATCTTCTTGAAGAAAATCAAACAAGTAAAACAATCCCAGACCTTAAACATCAGGGAATAAGCAATGGAGATAACTTTAATTGTGACCAAATTACACCAAAAAACAAAGCAAGCCTAAATATTGAGCAAAGTGCTCCCATAAGTAGAAAAAAACAAAATATTCAACAAAAGAGCGTTAGTCACAAAATGGAACTTGATCAAAAAATTAAAAATAATGAAAAAAACATTCCTTGTAACCAAGAAGTATTACAGAAAAGTACCAGCATAAACCATAATCAATCAAATACTTTATCGCACTCAGGAGAGAGTAAAGTAAATCACAAGTATTCAAATCAAAAAACGATCACAAATAAATTGCCCTTAAGAAAATTTGTAAGAACGGTAAGAAATGTATTTGGATATTTTTACTTCATATAATTATTTTTCAATCATTTTGTAGTAATGTGTCTTTATATGTTTTCTTCAGCCGTTTTTGAGGCAAAAGGAAATTGATAAATTGAAAGAGCAAGTAAATGTTGTCGAAAATGAAAACCTAGACTTACCAAAAAATATATCTAATGAAGTATTCAATAACTTTGATGAATCAAATGCCAACGGATTCATTCCAACTTATGATTTTGAATACCCTAACATTATAGCCAGTGTGAGAGAGGTGAAAACGATTATTAAAAGAAAAAAAAAAAAAAAAAAAAAAATAGACGATTTATAAAAATATTTTTGTAGGCTACTGGGGGCCGAAATGTCCAAAGTAATGAGGCTATTGAAGAGCGTCATAAACAGCGTCAGAAGGTTTATATTGAAAAACAAGAAGTTGACCAAAGTAGCAGCAATGAGTCTTACATTACAGCTTCAGACGAATCATTCAAGACTGCATTTAGTTTCGAACAGTTTCAAGCGTTCCAAGAATCACTTAATGAGAAAATACTCAATGAATCTAATGTTGATCGACATAAAAATAATGCTCTAATATTAGGGCTATTAAAAAATACACAGGGCACTGATGATCCTGACTATATCGATGAAATAAGTGAAAGTGATCGAGATGATTCGTGGACAGACGCTGTAGCTGATGTTCACAGTGAGAGTAATGTAGTCGAGAATATCGTAAATGATGTACAAAATTTACAACTTGACAATATTCACAATGAACTTGATGAAGCTACTCTAATGCGTGGTGATAGACTGGGAAGATTTTTATTTCAGAGTGAAGAAGACGAAGATGTTTATGTACATCCACTGAGAGAAAAAATACAAAAGGATCCGGAATGGCAGAAAGTAACACTGCGACGTAAAGGTATAGAAAGAATTTTCAGTCCTCGGGAATATTATTTAAATCTTAATGATGAAGATTTTGATTTCCAAATGCCACCAAAGTAGCGAATAGTTTCTATGACTGTATAAGAACTTACTATTTGTTGTGAATCCATCATTGTATGCAGAAATAGGATTATTTATTAATCCAATGATAATTTTTTTATCATTACCCAATTATTCATTTTAAAAGTAAAAAATACATGGATGAATTTTTTCTCTATTAGTTATTTGTTATTTATTTGAAATAGTATTATATTCTTGGTCATGAAACTTCTACATTTTTACAGCCTTTTTTAACATGTTATTTTTTACTTTTAAATTAAAATCTTAATAATGCATTTTACAAAACTAAAAGATCTTTCATTTGAAATTCAAATATAAACATTCATCATGCTAGATAACGTGTAAAATTAAAATATTGTTTTAATATAATGATGATGACTAATAATCTCACATTATATAAAATAAAGTAACATTAACTAAATTTCCTCATTTTTAATTAATTAACAAATGAAAAAAATTAACAAAACAAGTTTGTTTTATTCTGGAAGCAAATAAACTCACAAAGTATACAATAAAATTTAATATGCGTAGTTTTGTAAACATTAAACAAAGATGCTTCTTGACTACCATACACACTTAACAATTAACACACACTCATTCAATCTCAGTCATGAATTTTCAATCACTGGCTTTTGCCATTAATTGTATAATATTATCAGCTCTCAAGTTTGAGTTTTCAATTGACAAAGCGTTACGATTCCTACACTGTACATAATCATTTTGACTGTTCAAGAAAATAAAAAATTATTTATTTGTTGAAAAAATCCATTTTCCAACGAATTTGACTTTTTTTCTCGTCATCGGTTTGTATATGGTATTTTTGTAAAATATTGCTAACTACATCTCTACTATATTTCAACTCTCCAGAAAAAAAATTTTTATTTAAATATTGTTAAGTAACTATATACCGAAGATGGCAATTTTTATGTAACAAGCCAGAAGAAAATGTTATTTTTTATTTCGAATGTTCTCAGATAAATAATCAACACTGTGAAGGGTAAAATTGTTTTTGGCCTCTATTTGAAAAAGTACAATTAATAGTTATTCGTTTACTGTTGTTTAATGTAACTCCTTAAATCAATTAAACTGTATGACTGAATCGAATCATTCAGCGAATTCTGTGATACATTTACACAAATGCAGCTGTGAATAAAATGTAACAACCGAACGTTATAATAATAATAACAATAATAATAATAATGATAATAATAATAATAATAATAACCAAGAAAGTTTGTGTAATATTCAGTATGTCTATTTTTTTATGGATGACAAGTGATGCATTTTATAAAATAGATATATATTGTTCATTAATTTTAAGGAGGTTCAGCAGTAAATCTAGTGGAATGGAATTTTGAGGATTTTATTGTAAGGTTGAAATGTACCATCATAAAAAATTTGAAATCGTGGAATAAGGAATCTCGTTAAGTTTTTATCACAGCCTGTAAAAAAAGGGCGTAAATTTTCAAGAGTATGTATTTACATAATGTACAGAGGGTCAAGGGAAAGTGTAGCAAATGAGCCGCCATGTTCAGGACGTTCGTTAGAAACTTTATATCTACGTATATTAATCACACTACTTATACATATCGATGTATATCACTCAAACTTATGAAGCTCACAAAACGTGAGACCAGTGATTGGTTGATTGGGATTGTGTACGTGTTGGTCCTGAATATGATAGAGCCAATCAGGAGAAGCTTCCACATCTGCCACACTGCCCCTTGACCCTCTGCAACATAATGTTCATAAAATGTATACCAACACTCATCATTAACAGACTTGGGCTTCATTATTTTATGTATCTTAAAAACAATTTATTTATTTTTATTTGAAATGCATTATTTTGTAAGGCTTTTTTTCATCAAGGTAAAGGTACCCCTTTGGAACGCTTCAAAATTATGTCCCTCATGTAGAACAGCTAATAATAAACAAGTTTTTAACATCATTTTGTCAAAAGATTAAACAAAAATTTATTCTTTCTAATATATGCTTCCAAAAGCTATAAAAATTATTGCTTGTTTTGTCTTATTATTGTAAACCCCCCATGTTTTCGCTTTTCGATGTACCCATCCATACATGCTCATTTTCGGTCAGCGTACCCCGCACCATTGGTCGAAATTAACTGAGCCCGGTCCCTTTTCTCGATTTTGCAAGCGAGCCTCGCGGCTTTTTCAACGCGCTCCCAGCTGTTTGTTTTGACGGGCGCGGATGGTTGGATTATATTGAGCCTTGCCCAGAGCTGCGCGACTGATTGCATTTTTTTTGCTCTACGAAATTAAAAGGTTAACTCGACTTGACGGGTGTACGGGTGTAACGCCAACATTGTCCCGGGGCCCTCTGGCTAACAATATTTGCCCGGCGCCCCAGTGGGGGTGAATGTACCTGCGAGTGTTGAATGGATTTTTGACACGTTTTTCAGCTCAAGTCTGGTGGTTTTTTTAAATCTAAGGTTGACTTTTTTTAGAACAATTTTTCCAATTTTCAAAGTTCAATATTGCATTTGAATGCACATGTTTTAATTAGTAAAATAGGATTTTTCTTAGGTAATGGTTTATAAAACAATCTTCACTTGTATAAACAACGAGTTACAACCAAATTTTTTTCATTGATTTAGTTTAGTTGCTTGGATATTTTATTACGTATGGTTACCATTAAACTTAAAGTTACACCAGCAGTATTTTTAAAGTTGCAGAGAAACAAACAAAATTAATCATTGAATTATGGAAAACGTAAAACACACGGTAACGAAAGTGCCGACCAGCCCAGAGGGAAAAATCAATCGCACTCATCTCAAACGGTAATAAAAACAAAAACAGCCCTACGGCATTCGCATGTAGCTCAAAGGGTGACAAAATGAATTTCGTCCCCTTTTAGAGTGACAAGCTGTCCATGTGCCTACATGTACTTTCGTGCCTCCCCCCTTTTTTTCACCATCAGTTCCCACAACAAACCGCGTAAAAAATCACGAGAAGCTGAGAACACGCAGTCCTTGGGCTTCGTCTCTTCCTCTCGTTTTTTCCAATGATTCCCCATGTGCTGGTGCGTATGTGCTTGTGTTAGTACACGTGTACCAGTGACTCGTGCGCTTTAAAATCTTCAACCCTAAAAGTGTTTTACGCTCGGCTTCGTCCATTGATCGAATTTAAAAGTAATGTCGGAACGATTGTTGTGACGAGGCCTCGTGAAAGCGGTGTAGCTTTGACACCCGGAAGTCGCCCGGATTTTACAAGCACGCGACGGAAGCGGATCGAAATTTAGGGTTGAAAGCGCCACGCGCTACTCGCGCCAAAAAAAAAAAAAAAAAAAAAA